GGTCTCAGCGATGGGTACTGTAGTTGAGCAAATATTATTTTGACCTGTCCGAACTTAAATTTGAGCTTAGTTACACTTGTTGATAAATGAAAATGTTTACTCCTACCGATATCAAAGAAGCAATCAAACCTCTGTATTACGTATTTAAAATCCTCGGACTCGCTCCCCTTTTACTGGTAGAAATAGTGAAGCACTAACTGAAATTCTATCCCATCCGTGGTCAACTCTGATGATGATGCTCCAAGTAGCAGGCACGGCTGACCTCGTGACTCTACGGGGGCACAAAAGATCTGGGTAAGATGGTGATCATGACGGCAATGTGCCATTGAACCACCTCGGAGGGACAGGGGCTCTCAGAAGTGGTGCAGAAATTACTATTGAGTCAGCTTCTAACGCCCGATGTCAAAACGGAGCAACAATTATTTGCTACGGAACTGGCACACAGTAAAGTGCGGGTCACGGCCTTCGGGTTCTACGTCGACCTTACGCGTCTGTGCGCCATGATAGGTTCAGCTGCAACGCACATTATTGTGTTAGTTTAATTCAGAAGAACCCCCCACCCCATAGAAATTGGGACAAATACAGCGACACAGTGACATTTGATTCTCCTCTCTGAGATAATGTGCTCGGCCAGGTATGCATTGTTAGTAACATATTCAGGTACTGGAAAGGAAAAATGTTAATGCAAAATGACGCAATATTCTATTCGGTTTCAAAAACAAAGCTCATAGAAAGAAAAATAAGTCTATCGTGTTAATCTACACGTCTGTCAGGACGTTCTCGAAAGCGACTCTCTCTCTCTCTCTCTCTCTCTCTCTCTCTATATATATATATATATATATATATATAATTTGGTATCGAAGGTTTTTTTTTAAATTCAGATTTGGTCAGCGTTTAATGTGTCCTTACTTCAGAAGAAGGACAAATTGAGTTTTAGGCCTATCACCTGTTTGAAAGAAGTCTATGAATATGATACGAGGCATAGACCTCATTATAGCCTTCAACTTTTATTTGAAACATTCTTCGACACAGCGTTCGCATTAAATAAATACAAGGTAAGTATGTTATGGCACTGCACAGCGTAATATCTTTAGTGTGATTGGCTGCGTAGGAATAAACCTGCAACTTCGGTAAATGAAGCATGATTATCGCAAAGAACAGGTTTGCAAAACATGTTTACACCAAATTGGACTTCAGTGGGCGTCATGTTACTGCCGTCGGAAATCGTAATAATCTTAGCATATAAGCTCGCGCCCTTGCATATTAGCGGAGTATTTATACTGCAAGTGATGGGTAAAAAAATTGTTTACGCAACATTTTTGTATTTGAATCCAACTGAGATCATAAGATAGTGACAAACTAATACTCTACCGCGAATGCTTAAATAGTAACATGAAATGTGTGACTGACCAATATAGGAAAGGACAAATCAGGGAAATATTTCGGCAAATTATGGACTCTTCATAAAAAATAAGAATTACGGAAAATATTAAAAGGCTTTCATGCTGGTGTTACTGTTATAGATTTGAATATCTTATAAAGAATTATTCTGAAACACCATTAGAATTATGTGAGCGGTAAACCGAGGGAATGTAAAACTTACTACACGGAGCAGAAAACACGTGTCTTAGATGCTGGAAATTGCCGTCAAATTACAAAGCAAACAACAAATGCGTGGTATAGAAAATAAAGATCGGCACACAAAGAAGAATATCCAAGCGAGGTTGGTTGACTGCAGCCATTGTTATGGAAATCCCCTTGTGATATCGTCAGTCTCGGACACTTACTTCAACCCCGCGTGGGTGCTGTTGCTGTGGGCAATGCAGCTACACGACACTCGGAACTGTCATGTCTGACGACGCTAATAGACATCAATCAACTTGTCTTACATTACAGTTCACTTGTAATGTTACATTACGGGAGACCTGGCAGCGTTCAGTTTCAATCTCGAAACGGGACCCTCGAAAACACATGTAACCACGAGGCAGGACCCATCGCCTTGGCATGAACACGTGTAATATTTTACAGTTATGTAATCTCTGAGGTTTCGAGGGTTAAACATGTCGATGGTGGTCTTCCGGGTTTATGAAAGGTGAATCACCATCGACATATTCACAGCCATGTGGACATATAACTTCGGTAAATTTTAAGATTATTCTCCTGTCCACACCTTGCTGCTCCAAGCAGTTTTCTCCCCGTGAGGTTTTTGGATTAAATTCTTTTGTGTATTCCTCACCCCTCCCTCCCACCCTGCATCCCTCTCATCTCACCCTTCTTCTTGATTAGATCATCCTAATAATATTTGGTGTAAAGTACCAATTACGAAGCTCCTGACTACGTATTCTCCTCCAGCCTCATTTCACTTCGTTCCTCTTAGGTCCTACCACTCTCAGCAGTATCCTCTTCTCAGGCACCCTCGTATTCTACGCACAAGGCGAGAAACCTGTAGTTCTGATAATTCCGTATGGAAATACCAAACTCGTCATTTTCAGACACTGAGAATTAGGGTTTATACAAAAACTGACTTTTGAAAAAACCGGTTTTCGAATCCCAGTATTTCCAAAAAACCGGTTTTGGAATTTTTACAAAAAAAACTAAAATATAATTAAAACAGTAAAAAAATATTTATACTTATTTTAAAAAATTTCAGTTTATATAATTAGATTTTACAAATATAGCAAAAGTGTTACCAATCCAACTTGTCTTCTTTCTTGAATTCGTACTTCTAAAGCATTTAATAATTTTGAACTAATTTCAGCCTGACTCATGAAGATTAGTTTTACTACAATATGCTTGTGCCCGAGGCGATTTCAAGTCAAAATATTAACGTTTTTAATTAATTTTTACATATTAATTCTAGTATCTAAAACCAGTTTTTTAAATTTCAAAAACCGCTTTTCGAATTTTAAAAAAATTATAAAAAAAACGGTTTTTAAACCCGGTTTTTAAAAACCGACGAACTCTACTGAGAATCACAGCACCTCCTCATGTAGAATAAAAACAGAGTAAGCTGAAATGAATGTCGTATGTGCCTAAAACTGCCCATTGCATGAACATCACAGTTTAATTTTGTTAATCGGTAAAGTACAAATTTATTGTAGTTGCTGTCATTTAATCTATTTCAGGCAGCAGAGGACATTAACAACACTAAACGGCATCGAATAAGGCGCTAAGATGATAGTAAATGGTGAATAGACAGAATTATTTAGGGACAGGGAGAGAATGACGAAAAACTTTTAAAGTCTGCCACGACAGCCTTTGTACTCGCAGATCCCGTTTCTATATATTTTAAGTTTGTTTCGCAAACGATACCTTTGGAAACAAAGGTAGTCTATAAAATGAAGATATTTCCTACAGATAACCACACCATTGGTATTATTATCATATCCGGTTGAAAATTTTGTAGCAGAAATTTGATTTTCAGTGTGCAGCAGACCTCTGGTTTCTCTTCCATAATTTAATTAAAATTGAAACTGCGCACGAAAGAATTATTACAAAAGAATGAAAAAACAAAGTAAACGGAGTGGAGCTAAGTACCGTTACCGGGAAATAGAATATTAATAGGTATATTTTTTCCTTCCCGATCTGCCTGGAGATTGGTTGATGGGGTGGGATGGCGATCGGCGTGAGAGAGGCGGGGACTGAGCCAATGGTCCCGCCCGCGCTGCGCTGGTCGGGCACGCTTTCTCGGTCCGCTGCCGCTCAGTGTGGTTCCGGCCGGCAATCAGTTCGGGCAAGCAGGCAGCATCCCTCTGGCGTTCTCGCTACGCGTCGCGTGACGCGACTCAGTGCACTTCTTCAAGTATTCCCCGGCTCTGTAGGCGAGATGGGACACTTATGAATTAATTCGCATTGACACAAGCCGGTGTGACAGTTTTTCCGCGTAAAGGAGCACCTCGCAATAGCAGTGTGAGGCTGTTGGACGTCAAAACCGTACGATAAAGGTTGGCCACAGAATGTCTAAGTGCGTTTGTAAATACAGGAAGGAGCAGTTCGTTAGGAACAGCTTGTTTTAAACAGCCAGTTTCATTAATAGTACAATCATGGCGGTCGTCGTGTTCCTGGTTTTGCTGTACCCTCTCGTGGCAGAGGCAGGCAGCAGTGACAGCTTCCTCAAGATGTTCGCGGCCCAACAGACGCCTCCAGATCCTTGCTACGACGAACATCGTCCCAGGCGCTGCATCCCAGACTTCGTGAACGCGGCGTTTGGAAATCCTGTTGAAGCCTCTAGCACTTGCGGTTCTACTGTACCGGTGAGGTATTGCGACGTTTCGGAGACTCTTGGCGGAGGTGGCGGTAATGGTGGTATTTGTCACATATGCGACGAGTCTCAGCCGAAACGTCGTCACCCCGCCTCATACCTGACTGACCTGAACAATCCCAATAACGTTACTTGCTGGAGGTCGGAACCAATAGTATCTCCCGCCAGCGCCTCGAGTTTCCCGGACAACGTGACCCTAACGCTATCCCTGGGCAAGAAGTACGAGCTGACGTACGTAAGTCTCCAGTTCTGTCCTCGAGCAACCAAACCAGACTCCATTGCCATTTATAAGAGCATGGACTACGGAAAGACCTGGCAGCCCTTCCAGTTCTACTCGAGTCAGTGTCGCAAGGTGTACGGTCGTCCTAACAGGGCGACCATTACGAAGGCCAACGAACAGGAAGCCCTTTGTACGGATTCACACCGGTTCAATGGGAACGGTGGCGAGGGTGGACCAGTTGCCTCTCGCATCGCCTTTAGCACTCTGGAAGGACGACCCAGCGCCTCAGACTTCGACAACAGTCCTGTGCTGCAAGACTGGGTAACAGCAACTGATATCAAAGTAGTTTTCAACCGCCTGCATCTGCCTAACGGCTTTGAGGACGACGAGGAGGATGGAGGAATAGTTGAAAGTCATCCTCAACAGACGGCGTTAAAGTTGGGCGAGGAAGACAACTACACAAAGAGCCCGCACCAGCAGCAAGAGATAGAGAATCACGCCGCAGCGCCCCTAGAACCCGTGGCCGCCGCGAGCATTTCTGCAGACAGCGGTCCGAACGGTTTGGTTAACAGCTTTGCTCCCACTACGACCACCACGATGTCCTACCACTATGCCGTATCGGACTTCGCTGTCGGCGGCCGATGCAAGTGCAATGGGCATGCCTCCAAATGCGTGCTTGCGGGCCGCGACGGGCAACTGGCCTGCGACTGCAAGCACAACACCGCGGGCAGGGACTGCGAAAGGTGCAAGCCCTTCCACTTTGACAGGCCATGGAGCAGAGCAACGGCCAGGGACTCAAACGAATGCAAAGGTAGGCAACATTCCTCATTCTTAGGTGTTTCGGTAATGCAGTATCAGATTCTCTTCTTCAGATATCGCAAGCGCTTGGTATTCCGGTCTGCAGACAGAACGCTTAACTTGTCAACCCACGCTTTCAGATAGAGGGCTCTACAGCTTTCATTCAGTTTCTACAGCAACTCATAACTTAAATTCTTTCATCCTCATCGGATTCTTCGGGTTGTCAACACGTGACTAATACTTAAACCTATTTATTATGGCAATACTGTATAAGAAAATACAGAAGGTGACCGTATTTGCCTGTTTTTCTTTTAACAAACTTCACTAACATAATAAAATGTCTTATTTATTATGACAGTCACATGAACATATATCTCCGTTGGCAAGTTTATTGTTATTACTGGCCGTGACGCGTTTAGCGATCACGTATTAAACAGTTGCCAAGGAACAAAACAGCATTTGACATATGTCGCTTCTGTATTATAAAGCCGACTGCGTTCGCCCGGAAAACAGGTCACAGAGCGAGAGAAACAGAGAATATTACAAAATATTTTATTATTTTCGCCTATAACGCGTTTTGTACATCATCATCAACGCATCTCTGAAACGTCGGCCAACTTCTACGATACTATAAGACGCAAAATCTCAAAAGGCTGCCATCTTTAACATCTAAATTTTACCTACGCCGAATGCCATATAATTCAGTCTCGTTTAAGGTCACATTCCGCTGAAGGTGTCCTGTAACACGAGTTGGCCTAATTCCATCAGCAAAAATACGATTACAATAAAACCTATGGATCAGTGTCAGTCTTGAGAAGGGAATAAGCGCTCAGCTCGTTTTATGGTGTATAAGTGTTCATTGCCGTGCTTACAAAACCTAGCTAATGGACCCTATCCTGGGCCAGTTGAATGTAGTCCACATTTGCACATCCAAATAGTTTAAGACCCAATACAATATTATCCTTCTATCCACTCATACGTGTCTACCTTTCAAATTGTTTTCCAAAACAAACTGAACTTACATGTGTATTGCATGCATAAATTATCTCGTCTTCCTTGAAATTGTCATCGTGATTACAATTTTCTCCGGCGTCCTGTAACGTTCCCTCTTCTTGTCCAAATATTCTCAGTCTCCTGTAATCAGACACCTTCAATCTAGATTTCCTCTTAGGGCGAGTGTTCAAGTTTCGGATCCTTGAAAAACAACGAGTACAATTAAATGTCACATATGGTCTGTGGCAGACAATTACGATAATAAACTGTGCCTGGTTTTCGGACACATGAAATTTTGTTCATGTGTTTTCTGCATTTACACTGAATTCTGCCTGGCAGGAAACATTGTTCTATACATTTACTACGAAAAATTGTCAAAATAAGCTTAACGTAAAAAGAATTAATTTATTTTTCTGTTTAAATATATATTATTTAATTATTTAAATCTTGTCCGTCTAATCACAATAAATTCTTATTAAGTATTAAAATATTACAATAATTAACATTTAAAATATTTAAAATATTAAATGATGTTCTTTATCGAAATATAATAACATATTCGATGTTGTTCTGTATATGTACATCATGCTCAATATGACTTTAGTGTGGGTGAACGTTTTTTGTTGTTTTTGTATCAGCCTGTAATGTAAATAATATAAACACTAAATGAATATTAATAAAATAGAAAATAAAATAATATATTGAAATAATGAAATATAATTTTGAAACATACCAGAAAGTAAAATTAAAACAATAAATACGGCCAGTTTTGGTATAAAGGGACTCAAAGCGGTGTAGTGGTTAGTATTCCTGAGCTGTAATCGCGAAATTTCGGCAGTTCGTGTTAATCCATTCACAGACTGATCTAGTCGCTCGCCCAGGTTCTAAACCAATGTCTCATTTACCCATTCATCCGCTGAACCACTCACATCACTTCTTCGCCCATTCCTTCATTCCTTATGTTACCCACTCGCTGAAATGGTCCCCCAATTACCGGAGACTTACTTTAAACTGTTACCTCTTCAAAAATGATTTAATGTTCGTGTAAAGAGGCTCCCTGCCCTGTGATCAAGAACCATTCAAACATTAGTTCAGTGCGTGCTGTATATAAACAAGGCATTATAATTTTGAGAAATAATGAATGTTCGAAAGCCGACTCGAGTACACGTCATGTAAATCGAGGACAGAAAATCATCTTTGCCTTCCGGCATTAACAAATATATCCAGCTTATAAAACATTCAACAGTAGTTAGTGGTAACACTGCAGTAGCATCTATCGTGATGGAAATAAAACATAACAATGGGAAAGGCAGCAAATGCCTGATGGACCAGAAACACAAGAACACGTCTGGGGGGCGTCAGGTAAATAGGAGAGTCTGGAAAAGCTGGACCAACACACAGGGAAATACGGAAAGTTTGTATCAAGAGATAGGCAGTTCGCGCTAACCACTGGGAAGACATATACTGTAACCTGTTTACCGAATCGAACGAATTATATGGAGCATAATCCGCTTTGAGAAGTTAACAGTCGCTAAGCTACTCATACGCAACGTTTATGGAACCTGAAGGTCTATTATCGTGTTCACAGGAGCCGCCACTGATCTGTATTCTGAGCCAGATGAATCCAGGTTACAACCTCAACTCTACTTATCCTCCCATCATCCTACAGTACACGTCTAAGTAGTCTATTCATTTTAGGTTTCCTAACTACAATTTCGTAGGCACTTTTCGCCTGTCCAGTGCGTGCTATATGACCCGTCCATAGCATTTTCCTTGAGCCCATTATGAAATGTGCACCCATACGTCATTTTAGTGTTATGGGCTATCGTACTGAGCTGAATGTGCTTCCTTGAGCCCATTATGAAATGTGCACTCATACGTCATTTTAGTGTTACGGGATATCGTACTGAGCTGAATGTGTCCGTCCGTGTCCCACGATTCGATTACTGATATCGGAATTACAGTCACGAAGAAAACACTCTTTGTACCTGGTTCGATTCGCGTTCAGGAATAAGACCATGTTCACTCATGTCACCTGTGTAAAACAGGAGCTGTGTTTTGCTTGTACGAACTCAAAATTAACTTATCTCGACAACTCTGGGTCGAGAGTCTTTCCTAATTCTATAAGTTTAAATACTGCACGCAGTTACAGGCACTGCATAAAACAGGCAAGACACTTCACACCCAGCCAGCAAGGCGTTTTGTTTGCGTAAATAATTATTCACGAGTCAACACCGACATAACAGTTAATCACTGCATTTTCACGGACTCTGAACGTTGGCGGGAGAATAAAAAATAAAAATATTGCCGCAAACACGCAACTAAAAACACGTTCCTTAGGCCTATCACAAGCTACAGGCTGCCTGTGGATTCTTTTCGTTTATTTAAGAATATATTACAGGATTTTAGATAATAGTACTGTGTCGTCTTTGGACACTGTCCTCTCCCAGGACGAGTCAAATTTTGCTGGAACGGATGAAGTAAATCCATAGCGTGCTTTATATGTCCTATTTAAATTAAGACGACAAACAAATCATGACCATGATATTGCCGAGAGACGAGGCATTTTCTTTGTTTGTTTGTATTATTACGCGTTCTTTTCACGAAGTGCACAGCGAGAAAGCATTATGGGCTGATCGTACATGTCCGTCTGTCCAGTCGATTCAACTCGAGAACCACAGGACGGATTTTAATTAAATTAAATGTGGAGGTTGTGCTATTCTGAACTACCCCAAGATCGTATTCTTGAATATCCCAAGGGGAGTGATAACAAAATTACGGATGACAAAATTCGTAAAGAAGAACTGAGGTGCTGCGATCAGGTGGCCAAAGTGGTAACTATCGAATAAGGCGGGTTTAATACTTCTAAATGCACGTCGCAAAGAACTCATGAGAATAATATGTCTATTCTGGCACCTTCCAATTTATAAGTACGTACTAACGTATGGAGAGACGCGTTCATAAATTGTTCTAAAACGCGCCTGCTATAAAATCATTCTTACAATTTTTTTAAAATAAATGGGTAATATAAACGAATAATAAGGTATTTTACTGTCGTTAAATTTAATCTTTGATAATACTCGGTGAAATATGGAGTTTCAGGTCTACCATTGAAGTTACCGGGCGGGACAGATACATTTATTTTTCAGGTGCTTTCACAGTCTTCATAATAAACTATCAGTTTCAACAACAGGGACCTGCATGTGCTTGGACACTGACTCTGTTCGTGTGGAGCATTCACGACAGTTGGTCTACCAGGGAACGGGAGTATCCGTCCCTCGTTCCCGCGAATGATCACGCCACGCCGAATTCCCGCGGGGCGCTGCGTCCAAATTTCCATGGCGTCTACATTCTTTTACAAGCAGCAACTTGGCTTCTGCTCCTCGCAGTACAAGCTAGCTTTGTTATTGCAGCTGTCTGTTCCAATCTCGTCACAAAAGGTTCTCAGTCAGTTTATTAGGTAACTTTTGTTTTCTGCTTAATGAATGTTTGGCAGTGGCGTAACTTGGCTCAGATTGTGGCTTGAGATGTCTAGGGCACACGGGGACTCTGAATATCAAACTTCACTGCTGATCTTTGACATAAAACATTGGTATATATATATATATATAAAAAAAATGCACTTAATGTAGGGTGAATTTTTAATCGTTCATATGTAACTGGCATTGCAGACAATTTTGGATAGGTGTAGCAACAGGCCCATGAAGCCTGTATATTATACATACGAAGTTGTTAAACTTTAATGTAATATCTGAAATGGATAATATCCAAGAGGTCCGGAGATAGGGATTAGCTCTATCTAGTGGGCCCAACTGAGTAGGAACCTGAAGACGGAGATAGAGTCCCATCTCCGAAACGTCGTTTTACGTTTTATATTTACTAGACGATGGATAATATCCAAGAAAAATTTTATTCAATTGACTCTTCACCATCGTCAAGAAGTTTTAGATTTGATAGAAATAGTCTTGTTTCCATTTACTGTGTATCAGTTATCCTACTTGCATCAAGCACAGAAGTTAT